GCCTGCGATCGGACGCTGAGGTTGCTTTGTTTCTTCTCGATAGGTGAGTAACACCGTGTCTGCGCCGCAACAGCTAAATTCTGTCTAGTACACTGGACGCGACAAAGCGACCGTTGAAAATCATTTGAAATTTGTGTCAATACGTCATGAATAGAACGCAGCAGCAGTTTTCTGTCGGGGATTTGTCGTGTCGTCCCGCGCCGCATCCAGTGTAGACCATAGATATGTACATATCTATATGTACATATCTATGGTGTAGACAGCATCACTGATTATAATGAGTTCCATAGTATTTTGTCGCGCCGCGCCACTCGCGTCCGGTGTAGACACGGCATAACATTGGTTTTACTTTGTTTCACAGAACTAATTGTTGCCTGGGTTGCGTACGTATGTGTGGGGCGGAGCTATCAAAATAGGGGCGAGACCCTTTTGCGGTAGGGGCGTGTTTGTTTTGGTGATTTCAAATGTCAGCATTGGCTTCCAGAAATCGCTTACCCCACCTTTAATTATGAACACACAAGTGCAAACAGTTTTACCGTTTACTGCACGTTGTTATTCTTCTCGTTATTTCCCTATAGCGGCTAATGAACCGGAAGTCTCACCCATAGGCTTGCTTCCGCGTTGAAGAAAAAGGTGGATAAAGAAAAGAGGAACGATGGGAGATGTCGTTTTAAGTATGGAGTTCACGAATCATGTTCACGGATGAAGTAATGAATTATTTTTTATTACCTGTACCTTCCACAGTTATTCAAACAGTGAATAAATTATGCAGAGAAAGCGAGCAAAGAACATTTACGTTGTCAAAGGTCATGACTGACTTCAGTCTAGCACGAGTTTAAGCACTCTCAAAAAAACTTCAATCAGTAAAGCCATCTATAAATTAAATTTTATTAATTAAAAAGCATGTCTAATTAAAATCATGAAACTTATACATTTTCACATCAATTTTTTTTAAAGTTTAACAAAAATTACATGTTTAGGGCCCTATGAAATGTTTTATTTTTTCTCACCATATTATTTATATTTTTTATTGTTAATAATTTGTGTTTTTCTTAAAGTAGCCTTGTGATTTTTTTTATTTTTTATTTTTTTATTTACATTTTTCTGGTTATCAAATGAAGGCATAAAACATTAATTTAATTTATCATTTATCTTTTAATTATTGAAAATTAAGCAAACGAGATTTTTTGGCAAACAAAGGGGATTTACTATTAAAATTAAAACAAACAAGAAATGTTTTGTGTGATTATTCCTTAAAAAATAATGTTTGTTTCATTTTAGTAGTAGTAGTAGTATTAGTAGTAGTAGGCAATGGACATTCTACTGGAAAATAGTTATAGGCACAATGTCTTCAAATCAAACCGGACTTTTATTTTGACGGGTTGCCGTGAATACCTTTACAGTTCTGTGTATGTGATATGACGCTAGTTTTACTCTCATCAAACGCTAAAATGCTCATGAAGTGACTCTCAGAGCAGTTCTGGAGATGTTGTTCATGTGTTTACGTCCTCATTTAGTGAGACGGCAGATGCTGAAATCACCGCGAGTGTCAGGCACGCTTCAGTGTGTGTAGTAAATGAAACCGCGCGTCTGCGCCATTCATTAACATAGACACTCAGAACATGCAGGATTCATATTTAAATCGACTTTTGCGGCTTAATGTTTACAGATACTGGCTTAATATTTACAGATACTAGTCCATATCGTGATTTGATTTAAGTGTAATGACCTACTTTTGATTAATTCATTCAAAATTTGACAAATTCCGTGACATTCCGCGTTAAACTGAATTCTATTTTTATGACTGGATAAAGACTACACTGTAATTTTCCCGCTATTCATGCGGCCACTTGCCTGTTGTGAACATAAAATATCTTGCATACCACCACTGGTGAACGAGCCAGTGTAATGCAAATATATCTGAAAGGTCTTGCGAGGATATAGTCACGTATATAGTCACACATCGGATCTCGCGAGATCTTGTGCCACGAGATCTCGTCACACCCCTAGTAAGTACACAACTGCATGAAATATATCACACTGTGCAAGTGGTGTTTGGATATTTTATGACAAAAATCTTACATATTGTGCCTTTAAGTCTTTGTGGAAGCGTTTTAAGCTATGAGCAAAACCAGACAGCTACAAGGTAAAATACAATATAAACTTTGATTTGATTTGATGGTTCGGTACGTGCCTCGGTTTTGACGTCAAGGTTCGGTATGGTTTCGCTACAGCAAGGGGAAAAAAAACATAAAATTGCTTTTTTTTTTTTTTTTTAATTAAACAGTGATTTACTGAACAAATTGCTCTTTCTTTAAATAAATTCAATTATAATTAACATTTTCTTAGGGATAAAAATCTACCTCGGCTTATGCTGTAAACTATAGGGAGCCTTTTTACATTAATATAAGGTTACAGTTAACATAAAAAAACATAACATAAAAGTTAACAACAAAGCCCAAACTTAAATTTAATTACCATTTATTTTTAAATATAATAATCAACAGCAGTTTGAACTGAGGCGTTTATACAGCGATCTGTCACACCAAATCCAAGAGCATCAAAACGGCATTTATTGCTTGAATTTCCTGAAAAAAAGGACATAATTTGAAAGACGAAACTTTGTTTCTTATCAAAAGTAACAATATATAAAACTGGAAGTTTCCAACGAAGTTCCACTCGTGCAGTGGTTAAAACAATTCTGTATTTGTTCAGTACACATGCGTACCGAAACGAAAGACTCATACCGAAAATTTTCGGTACGAATACCTGTACCGTTACGCCCCTAATATATATATAAATAATTATAAATATATATATATATTTTTTTTTTACTTTGTGGCACTATGATGTGATCTCTCTTCTGAGTCAGCTCTATTTCTTGACAATAACCTTACGTTCTCACCTCACAGCATCTTGTTTTTAAATAACAAGTTAGACAAGCGATCCATTGTTTGCATGGACAAGCCTGCCTTTAAATACCTTTGCTCGAGGTTATCAGCTGCCATTGCTCTGGTCTTGGATATGTTGCAAGACTGGATCTAATTTGTCAGTCGAACAAGTTCCCCAACATGCTGTTTCCTTAGGTGCAAAGATCTTGTTTAAAATAGTCTTTGGTCAGTATTTTGACTCTGTGGCATTATAGAGGATGAGATGAGATGCCTGTCGCTGCTATTGTGTGGATATTAAAGAGCACACACACTCTTTGTACATGTTCGTGTGGCCTGAAGCTGCAAGACAGCACTCGACTTTTTTGTCACTTTTGAACTTCTTGACCTTTATGAGACTGTATAACTCTTCAGCAGTTATGTATGCATGTGTACGTGGGTCTGCTTGTGAAAGATAGCATTACAACAACTTGGAGAGCAATTTAGTCTCCCAAATTGTGTCAGTGGGATTTTGGGCTAAATGCATTTCCTCTTAAATGGACCCATTATGGTTGATGCTTATCTGCTTTTCCTGTGCAAGTAAATTGTAGGGAGAAGTACAGAATGTCTCTAAATCAGTGTCATCATTTGCTGTCTCGTGGGCAGCGTGCTGACATATAACGCTTCGGGCGTCCCGAGTTCGAGTCCTAGCTTTGTGGAGCCCTACATTTTTTTTTTTTCTCTCAATAAATTTTTTATAATTTATTTAAAAAAAAATCTTACTGACCCCAGACACTTTTGAATGGGTGTGTGTGTGTGTGTGTGCCACAACATAACACACAAAGGAAGTTTGGAGAAAGAATCAGCAACAGAAACAGTGCTGCTTGTTTTTTCTTTAATGTGCAGGTTTTACACTTCTGCAAAATGGATATGATGTATTTGTAAGCAACAGATCTTTTTAATAAGATTTTTTTTTTCTTCTAATTACAGTGCCTCTGGAGCAAGTGTGGTTGCCATTGATAATAAAATAGAACAAGCAATGGTAAGTTTTTCATTTTGTGTATTTATATACTCTTTATTTTCTATTTATTATTTTATATATACATATCTTTTTAATTTTAAAATTTAAATAACACAGCCGTGCATCCCAGCCCTGCAAAAAAAGTAAAAAGATTTTTCAAATTAAATATATGTATCAGCTTTAATGCCTAAAGCTTTAATGTCAAGTTTCAACAATTTTAATGACAGAATTCAAAATGTATAATGTACAATCTGCAAAATATTGGAAAAATGTTCAAATACTCAATATCGAAGAACATTTTTAAAAAGCATTTTTTTCACAAAATCTGTAATATTCTGTTGTAGAACCCACAAATGTAGCAGAAATGATCTGGATCATGTTTGTATTTTCACTGGCCATAATTCTAACATTAAATTCAGGATGAGGCATGAAATAATGTCTTCAGAATCATTCATACCTCTGAAAATCTGCTGAGAATTGAACAAATCCTTATAATCTGGCTCAGCGGAAGATGGGAATTATGTATTTGTGGCAGTGTTTCTATTGATCAAGGGATAATACAAGACGACTTCACCTTAAAAACGGCTGTTGTCAGCGAAAATGCTACAAAATGCATATTTTGAGAAAAACATGACATGCTGGAGGAAAACAGGTGCTAGGTTTAAAACCAGCATCTCAAAGTTAGTAAGAAACCAGTTTTGGATTTTATTCAGCAGAATCATGCACGGCAGTGTACACTCTTAAAAATAAAGGTGCTTCACGATGCCATAGATGAACCTTTTTTTTTTGTCTAAATTAGTGGTCGACCGATATTGGTTTTTTGACAGCCGATGCCGATATCTTGGAAAGCAGGGTGGCCGATATAAAGCCGATATAGATGTATTTATTTTAATTAATATTTAAGAAATTTGAAATCATTTGAAAATGGATTAAAAAATACATTTGTAAAATAAACATACTTATGCTTTAGATGACAAAGTATTTTTCACAAATAAATAAATATTTAATAAAAATATAATTAAAAAGGAAGTAAACTGTAACCAACAGAGCACTCAGTATTCTGGGAAGTTTGTGTGCATTGGATAAAATCGTGAATCGAATCGAATCGAATCGTGAAATCAAAATCGTGAATCGAATCGATTCGTGAGTTGAGTGAATCGTTACATCCCTAGACAGAACTGTTAACGACGACAGCGAACAAGAGGCCGCTGTCGCGGTCAGCACCGTCAAAATACAAGTCCCGCCTCAAACGCATCTGCCAAACAGAAAAACTTATCGGCCGATGCCGATATTTGAAAAATGTCAAATATCGGCCGATATATCGGTCGACCACTAGTCTAAATGGTTCTATAAAGAACCTTTAACATCTGAAGAACCTTTCAGTTTCACAAAAGGTGTTCTTTGTGGCGAAAGAAGGTTCTTCAGATTCTAAAAAGGTGAGAAAGAGATGGTTCTTTAAAGAACCTTTGACTGAATGGTTCTTCTATGGCATCGCTGTGAAGAACCTTTTAAGCACCTTTATTTTTAAGAGTGTAATAGTTCAAACAAATGAGCTAGGCAAATGTTGGTTCTGATGTACCGTTTTCTGAAATGATGTCATGTTTTGGCACCGTGATGCAGGATTTAGTGAAAAGCCATCTGATGTATGCTGTGCGGGAGGAGGTGGAGGTGTTGAAGGAGCATATCAAGGAGCTCTACGAGAGGAACTCTGTGCTGGAGCGAGAGAACGCAGTGCTCAAGTCTCTAGCCAACAACGATCAGCTCTCTCAGCTCACCGTCCAATCCAGCTCCAGCGCTCCCGTCCCGGGCCAAGCCCAGCCTCAGCCTTCCCTTCAGCTGGACTCCAACCAGAGCGCAGACACCCTGCCACGACAGCCGCAGCCCAGCGTCACCTCCGCCTGAAGCCTGTGCGTCACCGCAGCAGCAGAAACCCATCTCGCTCCCTCGGACCACAGTCGCCCCTTCGCCCCGCCCCGGACCAGCTGGACAAATTGTGAAGAGAGTTATTTTTTTAATAAAGAGAATCCAGCCATGAAAGAGGTGTATTTTTTAGCATTGCAGTTTTCAAAGCGAGAAGTCTATTTTCAGAGCCACCGTACTTCGTGTGATTTCGATTCACCCGTCAATTCAATTGTACTCTTTGTTATTTATTATAGGGCTGCTATTTTCCCAGAGGAACAATGTCACAGAACCCTTCGATCCGACAGCGAGCGGCAGTCTTACAGTATCGATCATCAGTGCAAGCGTAAACAGTGACCGAGTAGCAGTGGGTAGAGTTTAAACACTAACAGCGGCGTTTCTCTGTGGATTAAGAATGTGAACCTGGTGTGAATGTACATTGTGTATAGTGTAAAGATAAAAAGAGCGTGACAAGTTTGTACAGGTTTGTGGGCGAAGATCTAAACTGAATCCTCAATGGTCTACCCTGATGAAGAAAGCTTGTAGGATGTTGGAAAAAGAAGTCAGTTGCCATATTGCCCTGATGTCTCGTAGGTTTTTGGGGTCGGGAAGGGGATTGAAAAGACAAAAAAACTGTGAAGTTGTTCAACCTACTTTGTAACCAAAGATTCGAAGCTGTGTCTTTCATAACTTATGCTGTGACATGGTACAAACATGCTCCTTTTTCTTTTTAAAGAGTTTTATATTTATTTTGTACACTTTTCCTCCATTAAATACAGCCTAAAACACCAGCTGTTTTCATATGATCCAGCTACATATTCAAAAGCTAAATTTAGATACAAATGAGTAAGATTTAATAAGCGTAGTTATGTATAAAGTAGTGAAAAAAAGCAAATTTTAAGATTGGTTCTTACAAACAATTCATGCAACAATATTTAATGTTATATATTGATTTTATATTTAGAATTTTATAGACATTTTTTCTCCACCCCATTTATAGTTTCAACAACTAAATTTAGATGCAAATGAGTAATATTTCACCTGTATTACACTATTTAATTGTATTGTAGTATTTGTCCCCAGTTAAGTACTTTTACTAAATAGAAAGGAACCACTATTAAAATTTTAAATAATAATTAGTTTTAAATGATGCAATGAATTTACTCCAAGTACAGAAAACTAAATTTTGTTTTACGATTACAAATACATTTAACAATGTTTTATTAATTTTATATTTAGAAATGTATACATTGTTCCTGTACCCCATTTATAGTGTCAAAAACTAAATTTTGATGCACTATTTAATTGCATTGTAGTTGTATTTTCCCCCATTACCTACCTAAATGAACCACTATTAAAACTTCAAATGTGACCCTGGAGCACAAAAGCAGTCTTAAGTCGCTGGGGTATATTTGTAGCAATAGCCAAAAATACATTGTATGGGTCAAAATTAGCGATTTTTCTTTTATGCCAAAAAATCATTAGGATATTAAATAAAGATCATGTTCCATTTAGATATTTTGTAAATTTCCTACTGTAAATATATCAAAACTTAATTTTTGTTAATTTTATATTTAGAAATGTATACATTGTTCCTGTACCCCATTTATAGTGTCAAAAACTAAATTTTGATGCACTATTTAATTGCATTGTAGTTGCATTTTCCCCCATTACCTACCTAAATGAACCACTATTAAAACTTCAAATGTGACCCTGGAGCACAAAAGCAGTCTTAAATCGCTGGGGTATAGGACAACTTTAAAGGTGATTTTCTCAATATTTAGATTTTTGTGCCCCCTCAGATTCCAGATTTTCAAATAGTTGTAACTCAGCCAAATATTGTCCTATCCTAACAAACTATACATCAATGGAAAGCTTATTTATTCTTAAGCTTATTTATTAAATCTCAAAATTGAGATTGACCCCTTATGACTGGTTTTGTGGAACAGGGTAACAAATAATTAGTTATAAATGTTGCATGAATAAACCCATGCAAAGGCTCTTACAAAGAATGCATTTAAAGTGTCATTAATATATATTAATTTGTCATTAATCGGAATGTGGTTATCAAAAACGAGACACGTTTCACAATGTTTTTTTAATTTGAAATAATATAAAACATCTTAAAACAGTCTTTTTTGCTCTACAAAAAGAATGTTCTGTTTCATACATCTGCTTTGTGAAAACCCAAGTCTATCCAGAAATGTTTCAAGTCATAGAGCTGCAACTTCTTTATGCATAAATATATAAAAAAACAACAGGATGCCATCACATACCAAGGGCAGCTCAGGAGACGACAACGTAACTGAAACTCAGGGACGACAGTTAATACTTGCTTTGTGAGGACAGCATGGCAGCTTTTTAGAAAAATAAACTAAAAAACAAAAAAATCAGTCACTTCCCCAACGTCTCCTTCTCCAGAGAACCGGCATATCCACATTCTGATGAAGTCTCCTCTATTAGGGCTAATCACTTTGAGTCATGAACAGCGTTAGTTCAGCTGTTTGCCTGTTCTGTCCTGTAGGATTGTTGTTGATCACACAGGAACAGAGGGTTCAGCTCTAGGCCACAGTGACGAAGCGGCCTCCTTTGCTGCTCTGCTGTGCTGCCGCCACACGCTGGTCCTTCAGGAGGCGGAACCGCTCGTTGAGGGTCATTTCAGTCTGATAGAGAAAAGAACAACAATGAAGACGGCCATTAGGCTTGCCGCGATAGACGGTGTTGACGGTGATACCGGTGTTAAGCCGCAACCCCGGTTGCGTCACTTGCCCACCGCGGCACCGACCCCCACCGTCGTTTTGATTTTTTATAGTAATAAAAATCATTTAGTTCAGTAAAAGAACAAACACTACAATTAAAAACTGAACGCGGCTGCTCAATGCAGCGTGCCGAACGACAGTCGCATCACAGATCAGATTTCATTTCTCCAGTGAGGAGAGTGAGTGGAGCTGACTGACAAGAAGAGTGAGGTGAGACAGACAAGACGATCGCGGATGATTTAGTTTCGAAACGAGATGCAAAAGCGCCTGTTTGGCAATATTTTGGATTTTGAAAAGCCTGTTGACTTTTGCCTTTTATCTAAGGTGATTTTTGGAAGGTTTTTTTAAACATTCGTTTCTTATTTAATTGGTTTAATTGTTTGCTGATTTTTACTTTATTTAAACTTTGTGTCATTTATTTTATTTGACATCAAGGTGTATGCCGTGCCTCCAAGCTTTCTTACTCGTTTTGCTAATAAACGTCCTACGTTTCTTATTTATTTGGTTATATATATATTCCGCTTTTACAAGCTATTTAAAAGCGAAGGAAAGCGAGGAAAAGAGGGAACGCCCCCGCCCCGCCCCCACGGTGATACCGGTATTACCGGTGTTGTCACACGTCGATTAACCGGTGGGAAAATTTCCTCACCGTCACAACCCTAACGGCCATCAGGTTCACCACCACTGAGGTAAATGCGTTTCTAGCGGCTGATCTGGAACAGATTGGTTTTTTTCTTCAAACAGGAAAGCAAAACACAGGCTGAAGTTCAGTACTGGAAGAGTTCATATTTGAAGTGCATGTAAATGTAGTCAAAAATTTACATTTGTTTTTTGGATAAAAAAATAAATAAATCATGACGGTGATTCAAATGAATTGTTGGACAAATCAGATATTGGTTCATTTTTTGGAAGTAATGCACCAAAATTTCACCAACCACAAATTTTCTGTATAAAATGAATTTTCCGTTTCAGACAAAAACAAATAAATAAATAATTAAAAGAAACCGTTGCATTTAATTGGCATTTCTCCAATGGCGCACTTTTTTCAGTATCTATTTTATGCTTAATTTTATAATTAATAATTACAACAGTTGAAATCATAATTGAAAACAGTTGTGCTGCTTTATATTTTTGGGGAAACCATGACACATTTTGTTTTCAGGATTCTTTGACGAATAGAAAGCTCCAAAGAAACAAACATTTTGCAACATTACAAACTGTCACTTTAATTTTCCGTTTCAGACAAAAATAAATAAATAAATAATTAAAAGAAACCGTTACATTTAATTGGCATTTCTCCAATGGCGCACTTTTTTCAGTATCTATTTTATGCTTAATTTTATCATTCATAATTACAACAGCTGAAATCATAATTGAAAACAGTTGTGCTGCTTTATATTTTTGGGGAAACCATGACACATTTTGTTTTCAGGATTCTTTGACGAATAGAAAGCTCCAAAGAAACAAACATTTTGCAACATTACAAACTGTCACTTTAGATCAATTTAATGCATCTTTGCGGAATAAATGTATTAACCTTTTTAACTCTAACGCCAATAGTAGTGTATCGGTTTCCACACAAATATTAAGTAGCACCATTATTTTCAACATTGATAATAATGAGATGTTTCTTGAGCAGCAAATCTTTATATTAGACTGATTTCTGAAGGGTCATGTGACACCGAAGACTGGAGTATTGATGCTGAAAATTCAGCATTTAAATTACATTTAAAAAAATAGTAGTTTTAAATAGTTAAAATATGTCACAATATTACTGTGTATACTGTTTGTAATGCAGCCTTGATAAGACACTTCTTTCATAAACATTAAAAATTGTAATTACAGTACTGATTATAAGTGTTGATTATTAAATAATTTGATAAACTTTATTTTTCGTGACAGTTTTAGGCTACATTAAATCTTTAATTTTGGTTTCTGCGTTTTGGTAAAAAACAAACAATACATCAGTAATTTTATTGACTGAATTATGCAAAACAAATGCATTCTTGCATGTCAATTTAAGATAACATTATTTTACAGCGTCCTCGTTACATGTACTTACTATAGTAATAACAATAAATTATATATAATCACATGCAACCAACCGTAATCTAACCTTGTAGTAAGTACAAGACAGTTCATTCATATTACTCACTACTTAAATGTATAATTACACTGTAACAAGGACATCTTAAAATTTACTATAAACATATTTCATTGACTCAATGATAAATACGATTGATATTTGTGACCGTGGAGCACAAAAGCAGTCTTAAGTCGCTGGGGTATATCTGTAGCAATAGCCAACAATACATTGTATGGGTCAAAATTATACATTTTTCTTTTATGGCAAAAATCATTCAGATATTAAGTAAAGATTATGTTCCATGAAGATATTTAGTAAATTTCCTACCATAAATATATCAAAACTTAATTTTTGATTAGTAATATGCATTGCTAAGAACTTCATTTGGTCAACTTTAAAGGCGAATTTCCTCAATATTTTGATTTTTTTTTTTTTGCTCCCTCAGATTCCAGATTTTCAAATAATGCATCTCGGCCAAATAGTGTCCTATCCTAACAAACCATACATCAATGGAAAGCTTATTTATTCAGCTTTCAGATGATGTATAAATCTCAATTTTTTTAAAAATTGACCCTTATGACTGGTTTTGTGCTCCAGGGTCACATTTGTCCTACCTGTTTCCCAACACTGTTGATATCAAACTGCAGGGCGACACCTTTAGGAGGTTTCCTCTCCGGCTCCTCTTGAGGAGGTGAGGAGCGTGCTGGAGTCACGGGGTGCAGGGACCAGGACTGAGCCGGCCTGTGCGGAGCAAAACCAAACATCATTACTTCGGTGTTCCCAGACTCACATTCACAACATGCTCTCAAAGGTTGAACCTGCCAAACTAACAAGACAAGACGGAAACAAATGGATGGGAAATATGTGTGGCTTGTTAGTGAGAACATGCATCTTATCTGAACATCTTTATGAGTACCATTAGAAATACAAAACAAACACCAATTACAAATCCAAATATCTGAATGGCAACTATTGTATGTCTTATGAAATTGTGCATCTGGGTCTAATCAAACGTAATCATACTCAGGCTGTGTTCTAGCTGTGGGGTTGTCTATTGACACAGTGAGGATGCCACTGTTGTTTGTAGGAGTGCGCCACCTGGTGGAGAAGAGAGGACAAATCAGTAAGAGTTAACAGGAACAGCTTACAGTGCATCTACACTACTTTTCCAACATCTGCATTCATTTCTTAAAAACAAAACAAAAAACAGTACAACAGTAATGTTGTAGTATCACAACTTTTATATTAGAATATATTTTAAAATGCAATCTATTCCTGTGATCAAAGCTGAGTTTTCAGTCTTCAGTGTCACATTTTGTTTCAGGATTGACTAATAGAAAGTTTAAAAGAACACCATTTATTTGAAATCGAAATCTTTTGTAACATTGTAAATGTCTTTACTGACAGTTTTTATCAATTCAATGCAACCTTGCTGAATAAAAGTATTTTAAAAAAGTATATAAAAAAAAAACTGAATGACCCCAAACTTTTGAACAGTGGTGTAGTAGTTTGAATCAGAAAAACAGAAAAAAAAAAAAATAATAAAATTGAAGAATGTTTACTTACGAGCGCGTTCTCTGTGTGGGTTGAGCAGACTTTGTCTTCTGAACTTGTGCATGAACCTATTAAAAAAAAAATAATAATAATAATAATAGTAAAGTACTAATAGACAGGAAGCCAAATCAGTGCTCTTATATTTTAATTGGCTTATCTTTAAATTCATAATGCATTTTAAATACATTTTCATATGAACACAATCACTGATTGAAAACATAAAACCATTCTTGCTTTATTCTGGACTAACATTTAAAGAGACTTTGATTCAGTGAGTTTACTCGGCAAAGAATTGATTTGAAATAAATAGCCTATGGTTTGATTCTTTTTTGCGATTCATTAAAATGGTTCACAAGAGTAGTACACAAACCAGTAACAGATTAATGCCAATTCTAGTGATGAAAGGACCTGTTTCTAATTTAAATGTCACACTTTTCACTATAACAAGAGCCAATCGCTTTGAACACTGTCATTGTGTACGGTACACAGTCATTTCTATAAATACTACAGAGCAACCATATTCTTAAAAAGTAGTTTTTAAACACTTTAAGCATGTATGCTAACTACATTACATATTTAAGTGAAACAAATGGCTCCTTAAAATGTGAAGAGGGTGTCACATGATCAGCACCCATGCATGCAGCTTTCTTACTTTGAGTCCTCTTCTGAAGAGGAAGGTGGCCTGTCGTGCTTCTCTCTGTGTTTGCTGAGCAGTCGGAGCATTCCTGTAGAGAACAGATGATAAAACAAAAGGCAATCATTTTCACATTGAAACAACTTGGAAACAATAGAAATAAATTAGTGCTGTCAAACGATTAATCGCGATTAATCGCATCCAAAATAAAAGTTTTTGTTTACAAAATACATCTGTGTGTACTGTGTATATTTATTATGTACAATTATGTATGTATATATATATATATTTATTTATTTATTATGTATATAAAAGCACACGCATACAGTATATATTTTGAAAATATTTACATGTATTCTTAAAAAGTAGTTTTTAAACACTTTAAGCATGTATGCTAACTACATTACATATTTAAGTGAAACAAATGGCTCCTTAAAATGTGAAGAGGGTGTCACATGATCAGCACCCATGCATGCAGCTTTCTTACTTTGAGTCCTCTTCTGAAGAGGAAGGTGGCCTGTCGTGCTTCTCTCTGTGTTTGCTGAGCAGTCGGAGCATTCCTGTAGAGAACAGATGATAAAACAAAAGGCAATCATTTTCACATTGAAACAACTTGGAAACAATAGAAATAAATTAGTGCTGTCAAACGATTAATCGCGATTAATCGCATCCAAAATAAAAGTTTTTGTTTACAAAATACATCTGTGTGTACTGTGTATATTTATTATGTACAATTATGTATGTATATATATATATATTTATTTATTTATTATGTATATAAAAGCACACGCATACAGTATATATTTTGAAAATATTTACATATTTACAAAATATATTTATTATATAAACAACATCTTTTTTTCTTAAATATATACATGCATGTGTTTGCATTTATATATACACATAATAAATATACACAGTACACACACATATATTATGTGAACAAAAACGTTTATTTTGGATGCGATTAATCACGATTAATCGTTTGACGGCACTAAAATAAATAAATCTTAATTTCAATTGGTTAAGTCCCACCCTAATTTCTAACTTTAATTCTCCCGCTTCACTGAGTTACAAATCTTACATTGACATTTTTCCTGTAATATATTTGCTTCATGTATATTTCTTTTTTTTTTTTTAAAGAAATTAATACTTTTAAAGATGCATTAAATTGATCAAAAGTGGCATTTATAATATTACAAAATATTTATATTTCAAATAAATGCTGTACTTTTTAACTTTCTATTTATCAAAGATCACTGGACAAAAAAAGTATCACAGTTTCCACAAAAATAATACAATAATAATACATGTTTCTTGAGCAGCAAAGCAGCATATTAGACTGATTTCTGACGGATCATGTGACACAGAAGACTAGAGAAATGATGCTGAAAATTCAGCTTCGCGTTACAAGAATAAGTTATATTTTAAAATATATTAAAACAATTATTTTAAATTGTAACTTTTAAAAAATATCACCATTTTAATGCATTTCAAGGCTGTATTTATTTTGAAATGCTTAATTTAACAACCCCAAACTTGAATGGTAGAACACAATATTCTGAATTCTGCCTAAAAAGATCCATCTTGGTCTCATATGACCATAAAATCTCATCTGAAAACTGAGGTCCTTTTGGCAAATTTATGCTTTGATGTGGACTTGAGTTGTGGCTTCTCCTGCACCATGTTTTTCATGTGTACTTTCACAAGGTACTGCACATGCAACAACTCTTAACTCAGATATTAAACGAAAAAAAAATTTATCTTACCATTTTCTGTGAAGGTGAAAAGGTCTGTAAGAAACTGAGCCCTGAGGTTTCTGAGAGTCCATCTGTCTGTTTGGTCTCCTCTGGATCTGCATCTGTCGCCGCTGGACAAACGGCAGAGATCTCTGAGAGAAGTGAACGCACGTATAAAAAGTTACACCTGAATTCATTCACACATGTATGACAAAAAACAAAAACAAAAAAACACACCTTTTAAGCTCAAACTCTGACCATGCACAAACTAATTATCATAATCCCCCTTCAGTACATTAGTGTCCACACCTGGTTGACAGCAGCACTGTTGGGCATCTGTCGGTTCTTAGCAGGTCTGTTCTGGACTGGGCGGTTGAGCGGACTGATCCCTTTAAACAGGACGGCATTTTTTCTCGCAGCTAAACCAGTGATAACCCCCTGCCCACGACGCCTGGCCACCGTGGGAGGAAGCTTGCGGTTTCCAGAGAAGCGTTTGTTCACAACACCTCCTACAGATGGCCAAAACAAAACCAGATGCAGAAAATTGTCAGACATGGCTGATTTGCATACAATAAAAACACTGAAATTATTCTAAAACTGAATTTATTGTTATATTGCAAGCTGTTGGTGAATCTTTTAAATGTTAAAACATGCTTAGAGAAATAAAATAAATTCTCAATAAAAAATTCACGTGACAATAACAAAAAAGAAGAAAACATCAAATTCTGACCTCTTTTAGATGGCACTCCAGCTCTTGGCCCAGTTTTCTTCCCCTGAGTGAAGCGGCCTTTCACCGGGAGTCTGCGCTTTGACGTCTGGGCCTGGAATTGTTTCTGCTTCTTATTCAGCCGGATAATATCATCTGTAAAATATGAATGCAATAAATTTGATCAAATTAAACGATACAGGTCACATCACACAAACTGTAGGGTTGCTCAATTGAACACTAAATAAAACATTAGGCACATCAAACAAAAAACTATTAGGATAAATGAACTTGAATTCAATAAAACTGTCATAAAATAGGCTTTGAATACATATTAATTAACATTCTGTTTAAATAAATAACCCTGAGGAAATAAGTGATACTCGGGAAATGCGGTCAAACACAGTCAAGATATATCTTTAAACGCGTTTACCAATCAATAAAACACCGATAATGGTGATGATATATATTATATTACGATACAAAGAGATTGCTGCAATGTTAACACTGATAAATCACATGTAAAATGTCACAATGCTAATCAGCTGCACACACGGCTAGTTTTATCTGTGGCATTACCTAAAGACATGTCAACCTTATCGAGTTCCTCTGTACTTCCACCGCCGACCGATTTATAACTAGATTTACTCATTCTGCAGTTCGCGCTATGACAGAAATTAAGACGTAAACAACACACTGCCTACACGATCCAACAACGCTTCTTCTTCTTCTTCTTCTTCTTCTTCTGATGTTTTTTTTTTGGCGGTTTTGGCAAACCAACTTAAAGGTGCATTACCGCCACCTACTGATATGGAGTGTGGAGTGAACAGATTTGGTAGAGAGAAGGATATACAGGTGCATCTCAATAAATTAGAATGTCGTGGAAAAGTTCATTTATTTCAGTAATTCAACTCAAATTGTGAAACTCGTGTATTAAATAAAATCAATGCACACAGACTGAAGTAGTTTAAGTCTTTCTTTGCCATATCTTTCTTACTTCAATTGATATTATTCTCTTGATTTCAGATTTGCTAATGGCTATATTAATTTCACTGTGAGTGCTTCAGAGCCATCTTAGCCAAGCAGTCCACTTCCTCATTTCCCTCCACCCCAGTATGAGCCGGTACCCATAGGAAGTATACCATTATCCCTAATTGTCTAATTCTAAACAAGTACTGTAATACTTCATATATTAAATCTTGCCGTGCTGCAGATTTTCCACTCACTAGACTTGTTAGAACAGACATTGAATCTGTACATATTACAATATTATTTGGTTGTATTTCTTCAATCCATTGTGGTGCTAATATAATTGCTATTAATTCTGTAGTAAATACAGACATATGATCTGATATTCTTTTGCCTATTTTTATTTTAAATATATACTGCTGTTGTCCTTCCAGATTCAGGATCCTTTGACCCATCCGTATATATCTGTAACTGTGAATAATATGCTTGACAAGACAACAACTCTGCACATCTGCTTCTGTTTGGTGCCTCGATATCTGGAAGCGACCTACAGACAGTACGCCTTTATGCTGAAAGGACTGCGAGAAGTGGCAAAGGTACAGAAATACTACACCTCCACTTAAATGAGAGAGATCATTACATCTGTCATTGAGTGTTTGATGTGTCTTACCATTTGTTAGATTGAGCTACTGAATTAGACCACACCCCTTTCCATAACCGGTGTTTCTGATTGGCCAGGGCTGCACTCCTAGGTAGTAGGGACATTTAATGAATTGTAGTTGAATAAAATCTGTTTGCTACAGGAATGTAAAAGCCTGGATATTCAGTTCCATCTGCTGTCAGGAGAACCTGGACAGAAGCTGCCAAGCTTTGTTAAAAACGGGAAGTTTGGAGCAGTTGTCACTGACTTTAACCCCCTCAGGATCCCTCTCCAGTGGATTGAGACTGTTAAGAAACACCTTCCGTCTGACGTCCCTTTCATTCAGGTGTGTTAGTCATTATTATTTGTCTTGTGCACGTGCTCTTGCATGCCATGTGCTCGTGTACTGATTTGAAACCGTGTTACATTTTCCTGCCGCTCTGAATCAAGGTTGATGCACATAACGTGGTGCCTTGCTGGGAAGCGTCTGAGAAGCTGGAATATGGAGCCAGGACGATACGAGGCAAAATCACTAAACTTCTGCCAGAATTCCTCTCAGAGATTCCTCTTGTGGACACTCACCCACACTCTGCTTCTCGCACAGCAAAGGTTTGATCAAGGATTCTACTGTAGCTGTTCCAGAGATGTGATTGTTCCATTTTTATGTCAATTTTTAGATGGATTCTGACCTGAAGTATGATCATATGAACTGCATAAATCTGATGAAAAAAAATGCAGATTTTCAAATACATTTAAAATATATGTGTTTAATAAAATCAATGAAATAAAATATGAATGATGTTTAAATATTAAAATAACAAGCAAAACAAGCGAGGGGAAAAAAAGAAGAAAAAAAAACTTGGTAGGTTACCATTTCATATGTATATATTTTTTATTTTTCAGCCCAATAGTATTAGTGGAATGGTAATATTTATTTATTGATTCATTTTTTTAACTATAATAATAATAACAATAAGTATTTTTAATTGTTGTTGTTGTTAGCTAGTGGTAATGCTTATTATAATTAATGTAATTATTGTTATTAATAATAATTGCAACAACAATAACAGCAATATATATTTTGCATTATTATATTTAATATTTATCTTATATATTTATTTGACAGTAAAATAGTATTCTTTAATTGTTTTAATTTTCATAATATATAATAAAAATATTTGACTAATTATTATTATTATTATTATTGTTGTTGATTAGTATTAATAATTATCATAAATGGAATTATTCCCAAAAAATGATAACAATAATAATAAATTAAATAATATATTGTTTATTATTATTATTTAATCTTTTTTTTGCAGAAAAATAGTAGATTTGGAATGATAATATATTTATTCATTTGTTTATTTATTTAAAATTATTTAAAATTTAAATGTAATATTATTTAAAAAAATAAGCAAAAAATATTTAAAGAATAATAATTATTCTTTATTAGAATTAATTTCATTATTATTATTAAAAATAGCAATAACAACAACAATAATATATTATTTTTGTATTATTGTTGTTGTTGTTTTATTGAATGGGGAAAAAACAGGTTTTCCTTCTTTTTTTTTTCTTTTTTTTTTTTTATCCTTAGCTGATTACTTGCCTGTTGTAATCTGTGAAGCACATTTTTTGTGTGCTTTTTTTCTTTTCACACATGTTTTGTTCATTGTTAGCGTTCTCAAATGCATTATGACTTTAAACCATAGACTGTATAAAAACAAACCCTGGTTCTACATAAAAGGTGTTTTCCCCATCTTCTTCATTTCAAATTCTGTGTTTCAGCCAGTGGACTGGGAGGAGGTTCTGTCGTGTCTTGAGGTGGAGCGCAGTGCTGGAGAGGTGGACTGGGCTCAGCCTGGCTCCTGTAGCGGCATGGCCATGCTGGAGTCCTTCATTGACCAACGGCTGCGTCTCTTTGCCACTCACAGAAACAATCCCAAATGTGACGCCCTCAGCCATCTCTCCCCATGGATCCACGCCGGTCAGTTTACACTCTGTCTTAGTGCTTTTTTGATGTTGTTCATGCAGTGCTATAAATGGGGTTCAAAACAATATTGTTGGATTGGCCAAAAAAAAAAAAAATTACAATTTATTTTGTGACCCACTGAAGTCCTGCAGGTTTGGAAAAACCTGAGAGATTGATTTTTGATCTTTATTTTACACCATCCACTTCTAGATGTAGTTTAGGGGTTCTAATAGTTGGCATGTTTTCTCTTGAAGGTCAGTTGTCTGCTCAGCGTGTGGTGAAGCAGGTCGCCATGCTGGAGTCCTTCATTGACCAACGGCTGTGTCTCTTTGCCACTCACAGAAACAATCCCAACTGTGACGCCCTCAGCCATCTCTCCCCATGGATCCACGCCGGTCAGTTTACACTCTGTCTTAGTGCTTTTTTGATGTTGTTCATGCAGTGCTATAAATGGGGTTCAAAACAATATTGTTGGATTGACCAAAAAAAAAAAAATTTAAATTTATTTTGTGACCCACTGAAGTCCTGCAGGTTTGGAAAAACCGGAGAGATTGATTTTTGATCTTTATTTTACACCATCCACTTCTAGATGTAGTTTAGGGGTTCTAATAGTTGGCATGTTTTCTCTTGAAGGTCAGTTGTCTGCTCAGCGTGTGGTGAAGCAGGTCAAACGAGAAAAGAACGCCAGCGAGTCTGTGCTGTCTTTTACCGAGGAGCTGGTGGTGCGCCGGGAGCTCGCCGACAACTTCTGCTTCTACAACCACAACTATGACAACATTTCAGGTGAGCGCTGTGTCCGTGGCTTTAATCGCTCGCAGGCTTTCTGCAGGTCTCAAAAAGTTTTAAATTGTATATCTCACAGGTGCGTATGATTGGGCGAAGAAGACTTTGCAGGATCACGCTAAGGACTGCAGACAGTACCTTTACACAAAAGAGCAGCTGGAGAACGCCAAGACCCATGACCAGCTGTGGAACGCTGCACAGGTAGCTCAACATTGAAGTGTGTTTTCTGGTGGTTTCATAGTATAATTTTTGTCATTTTTGTCTCTCGAAACCACTGCTGTAATGGCAAACCCAGTGAATCGAGCCAGTAAATGCATTGAAATGAAGTCTCCTGGTGTGTTGTAGCGTCAGCTGGTGTTAGAAGGGAAGATGCATGGGTTTCTGCGCATGTACTGGGCAAAGAAGATCCTGGAATGGACTGCATCTCCTGAAGAAGCCCTCTCTATTGCTATATATCTGAATGACCGTCTGTCTTTAGATGGCTGCGATCCCAACGGATATGTGGGTGAGAAACCTGATGCTTTGATTGCTCTAGCACATCAAATACATTCTTATAATTAATTATTAAAGTAGTAGTAGAGTTATATGTATATGTGACCCTGGACCACAAAACCAGTCATAAGGGTCAATTTTTCAAAATTGAGATTGATACGTCATCTGAGAGCTGAATAAATAAGCTTTCCATTGATGTATGGTTTGTTAGGATAGGACAATATTTGGCTGAGATACAACTATTTGAAAATCTGGAATCTGAGGGTGCAAAAAAAAAATCAAAATATTGAGAAAATCGCCTTTAAAGTTGTCCAAATGAAGTTCTTAGCAATGCATATTACTAATCAAAAATTAAGTTGTGATATATTTACAGTAGGAAATTTACAAAATATTACGGAACATGATCTTTACTTAAAATCTTAATGATTTTTGGCATAAAAGAAAAATCAATAATTTTGACCCAAGGTATTTTTGGCTATTGCTACAAATATGAATTATGCTGGCTGCAAGCGGAAGTTTGATGTGGCTCAGTTTGAGAGGAAGTACGCTGCTGTAAAGGAGACCTCCAAGAAATCTGTCTAGTTTCGTTGGTCAAATTCTTGCTTGGTGACACGTAAAACTTGATGCTTTGGCTTCTTTACATTGGCGGAGAAGAAATATATGAACTAACTGACCATTTTCTTTTAAAGACATATGTTTGGACACAGCTGCACCATATGTCAGAGCGCTGCCCATAAGGCTATGACACATATACCAATTTGTTTCCAAATATCTGTGAAAAACATAAGTTACTTGATATAAATGACTTTTTTAATGTTTTTCATTTTGAAGAAAGGCTTTAGAGAAGCTTATATCTGATGACATCACTAAGTGTGTTTACATGCAAAGCAAAACATTGATAAAACATTGATGTGTTATTAAAAATTGAACAACACAAGAAAATGTGTTTTATATGAGATTTGAAATTATACTGTTTTGATATCAAAGTGTAAAGAGGGTTTTTTTGTGCACTCATGCTACTGTTCAAATATTTGGGGTCTAATTGTTTTATGTTTTTTTTAAAAAGAAAATTATACTTTTATTCAGCAAGGATGCATTAAATGGATAAAAAGTGACAGCAAAGACATTTGTATTGTTACAAACTATTTCTATTGAAAAATGCTGTTCTTTTGAACTTTCCCATCAAAGAATCCTGGAAAATAAGTATAACAGTTTCCACAAAAATATGAAGCTTTCATCATTGATAATAATAAATGTGTCTTGAGCATCAAATCATCATATTTGAATGATATCTGAAGGATCATGTGACTGAATACTGGAGTAATGATGCTGAAAATCCAGGAATAAATGACATTTTAATATATATTCACATGGAAAGCAATTATTTCGGTAACACTTTATTTTACGGTGTCCTTGTTACACGTGTACTTAGTATTATAATAACAATAAATTATGCATAATTTACATGCAAGTAACCCTAATCCTAACCCTAACTATATAGTAAGTACATGTAGTTAATTAATATTACTCAGTACTTAAATGTGTAATTACACTGTAACAAGAACACCTTAAAATAAAGTGTAAGCTTTTTTCAAATTTTATTTTCATAATATTACTACTGTATTTTTTACTGTATTCTTAATCAAATAAATGCAGCCTTGATGAGCATTAGAGATTTCCCTAAAAACATTTATAAATTGTACCGACCCCAAACTTTTGAATGGAAGTGTATATATTGTTTTTGTATATATCTGTGCGTATACTGGCTATTTTGCAGTATCTCTGAATATCAACATGATTACATGAGCACTCATTAATGTAATTGTATACACAGCATTGAATACGTTGACAGCGCAACTATGAATGATAGTATTTGAATAAAATAACTACAGAGTGTGTGGCAGCCCACGAGGGTTGAATTTGACAGAAAATGAGACCGAATTGGAGGCAGAAAAAGAGGCAGAAACAACACTACGTAATGTGACCTTACTTATTGAGAGCTGACGATGGTCTTTTTGACACACCACCTCACGGAACATTTCTCTGAAGCGTGAAGACATGAGGTTATACAGGATGGGATTGACCACTGAGCTCAAGTAGAAGAAGACACCAGAAAGAAGATGCACATACTCAAAGACATGGTGGTTCTCTGCAGTCCAGTCATCAATGTAGCTCCACATGACACGATCGATGTGAAACGGGGCCCAGCAGATTCCAAACACAATCACCAATGCACCTGTCAAATACACAGCAAGTGTATTAGAAATGACAAATTAAAGTAAATGTGTAGAATAAATTCAATTCAACACCAAATAATAATAATAATAAATCAAACAAATTATATCTTTTAAATATATTATATTATATTTTATATTATATTACTTAGTGGTTTTCTAAGATTAGTGGATCATGTTCAGAGATAAAGAGATTAACTTTTAGGAGACTATTGTGAACCTGATACATTTACTAAAACATTCAATTCATACATTCACTAAAAATCACCAAAACACAGGTTATGTATTCACTCTCAGGCCATCCAAGATGTAGATGAGTTTGTTTCTTCATGGGATCAGATTTGGAGAAATTTAGTGTTAGCTTTTTTCAAATTTTATTTTCATAATATTACTACTGTATTTTTTACTGTATTCTTAATCAAATAAATGCAGCCTTGATGAGCATTAGAGATTTCCCTAAAAACATTTATAAATTGTACCGACCCCAAACTTTTGAATGGAAGTGTATATATTGTTTTTGTATATATCTGTGCGTATACTGGCTATTTTGCAGTATCTCTGAATATCAACATGATTACATGAGCACTCATTAATGTAATTTGATACACAGCATTGAATACGTTGACAGCGCAACTATGAATGATAGTATTTGAATAAAATAACTACAGAGTGTGTGGCAGCCCACGAGGGTTGAATTTGACAGAAAATGAGACCGAATTGGAGGCAGAAAAAGAGGCAGAAACAACACTACGTAATGTGACCTTACTTATTGAGAGCTGACGATGGTCTTTTTGACACACCACCTCACGGAACATTTCTCTGAAGCGTGAAGACATGAGGTTATACAGGATGGGATTGACCACTGAGCTCAAGTAGAAGAAGACACCAGAAAGAAGATGCACATACTCAAAGACATGGTGGTTCTCTGCAGTCCAGTCATCAATGTAGCTCCACATGACACGATCGATGTGAAACGGGGCCCAGCAGATTCCAAACACAATCACCAATGCACCTGTCAAATACACAGCAAGTGTATTAGAAATGACAAATTAAAGTAAATGTGTAGAATAAATTCAATTCAACACCAAATAATAATAATAATAAATCAAACAAATTATATCTTTTAAATATATTATATTATATTTTATATTATATTACTTAGTGGTTTTCTAAGATTAGTGGATCATGTTCAGAGATAAAGAGATTAACTTTTAGGAGACTATTGTGAACCTGATACATTTACTAAAACATTCAATTCATACATTCACTAAAAATCACCAAAACACAGGTTATGTATTCACTCTCAGGCCATCCAAGATGTAGATGAGTTTGTTTCTTCATGGGATCAGATTTGGAGAAATTTAGTGTTACATCACTTGCTCACCAACGAATCCTCTGCAGTGAATGGGTGCCGTCAGAATGAGAGTCCAAACAGCTGATAAAAACATCACAATAATCCACAAGTAATCCACACCACTCCAGTCCATCAGTTAACATCCCGTGAAATGAAAATATGTGTGTTTGTAAGAAATAAATCCATCATTAAAGGGTTAGTTCACCCAAAAATGAAAATTCTGTCATTAATTACTCACCCTCGCATTGTTCCAAACCCGTAAGACCTTCGTTCATCTTCGGAACACAATTTAAGATATTTTTGATGAAATCTGAGTGAGCTTTTCTGGACCTTGAACGTGGTAGTTACCTTGCTGTCTATGGGAGGGTCAGAGAGCTCTCAGATTTCATCAAAAATATCTTAAATTGAGTTCCGAAGTTGAACGAAGGTCTTACGGGTTTAGAACAACACGAGGGTGAGTAATTAATGACAGAATTTTCATTTTTGGGTGAACTAACCCTTTAAGGCATTTTAACTTAAACCATTGCTTCTGGCCAAAATGTAAGTCTATAATCCATAATGACGCTTCCTCCAGTGAAAAAATCCATCCCCTGTCGTCTCTTACATTAAATCCACCAACATATCTGTTTAGAACCGTTTTGGGCTGTTTTTGCATATTTCTCTCCTGATTTAGATGAAATGACTTTTTCACTTGGAGAAAGCCACAGACTCATATTCTGGCCAGAAGCAATGGTTTGAAGTTAAAACGTCTTAATGAGGAATTTGTTTCCTACAAACACACAGCTTTTCACTTCACAAGACATTAATCGATGGACTGGAGTGGTGTGGATTACTTGTGGATTATTGTGTTTTTATCAGTTGTTTGGACTCTCATTCTGACGGCACCCATTCGCTGCATTGGTGAGCAAGTGATGTGATGCTAAATTTCTCCAAATTTGTTTGGATGAGAAACAAACTCATCTGCATCAGATGGCCTAAGGGTGAGTAAATGTTCAGCAAAAAGTCATTTTTGGTGAACTATTCCTTTAATAGTCATTGCAAAAATGGGCTATGAAAAGTGACGTTAGTTCTGAGAAAAGCTCTAACATCATTTGTTTGCAGACGACACTACTGTGTTTTCTAATGCAATGACATTCACACATTTTAAGTGTCCAGATGTGTTTAAATCTATTAAACAAACTGTTACTCCTGGCACACATCTGCACTACTGACAGTGTTTATGAACTTGAGAATACATGACTGGATCTTAAGTATTTTGTTTGTATCTCAGTATCAAAGTACATGTTGAAATCAGTTGAGGAAGGCCACACAGCGTAGTGCTGACCAGCTATTACAATAAGCCAGATGCAGACTGACGCTATTACTAAATCAGATCTCCTTTGTATTTATAATAAGGCATGCGGCTGATAAAGCACAGATGAGTATTTTCTGTTCATCAGGACAGATTATAAAAGCTCACGCACAGGACAAGAATGTGTCATAATTAAAAAAGCTGGGATTTGACTCTTTATCTCTTTTTCTAGCATAATATTTAGAAAAGAATATTTGAGTTTTTCAGCTCTGAATAATGAACATTGGAAGATTGTTATTAATGTTCTTCCACACTGCTCATACTGAATCCTGAGCTGCTAGGTTTTATGATTTCACACCGTACATTTCTAAACCTTGGGTTAACATTCTTAATATTTACAAGATTAATAGCATCGACTAGATAAGTATGACAAGCATGCAATGTGTTGCTTATTCATCTGTGGAAATATTGCAACATAAGTCTACTTCAGTTGTTTTAAAGGAATAGTTCACCTAGAAATGAAAATGGGTCACGACATTTAAGAAGCAATGATTTGAGTTATTATGTTGACAAACCTGATATTATGCATCTTGACACGCCATACTGATGAACCCAAATTCAAACAAAACTGTAAAACGTTCCTCAACCCAGTGTTAAAAGTGGCATTAAAGTCAACATGAAGACAAAGTTGACCCTTGTTACT